TAACTGCTTGAGTAATTTCCATACCCCTCTTCTTTCTTTGCTGTTTTAAAAGCTTCCTTCTCTGTGCTCTCATAGCTTAGCCTTTTTCTAAACCAGCCCAATGGCCAGGCTGTGAGCAATTGAGATTGAGAGCAGTGGTCTTATCTCATTGGTTTTTGCATGCTGCACCTTGTCTAGTCATCGACAACAAGCCTTATCTTACTCTTCCTGCCCTTCATGCCTCATCTGATGGCACACATTATGGCTTTGAAAATATTGGTTTTATTTCAAAGATGACCATCCTAAATCACAGCAGTAAAATGCATTATTAACCAAGTTTTGTCACACAGAGTTTAACTACATGTCCATAGATTTGGTCATAAAACAAAAGCCATTTCCCTAGTATTATAATAGAGAGGGAAACACCAGAGCAGCTCTTTGTAGGGCTGGCCACTAGAATATTGTTTACTGGTACTGGGAAGAATAAATGTGGAAGGACAATGTGGTGTAATAATTAGAAAAATAATATGAAGATATACACGTGGTATAAAATACAATTTTCTCCTGATTATGTGTATATATATATGCAATATTTCTTGTATGTGTGTGTATATATGTATATACACACATATATCTATAAATTTATAAATAAGAGGGGAGAGCTTACATTTTAATTCTGACAAGATAAAAGAAGATTGAAGACATTTCATCCAAATCTGCCTCTCGCATAGTGAGTATAGTTGGTATACAACTGAAATGTTTGCAGAAAACCTCAGGGCAATTCAAATGGGCCTTATATTCCCACCCTCTCACAATCACCTAATCCTTCTCCCCGCCTCCTTTTCCCCAATCACAAAAATGACGTTCCTAAGTGTGTCAGATCTAGGTGTAATCAAACAGAATATGAACAAAGGAAAAGTTGGAATAAAAAGCTAACTTTGTGTTCACAGATTGACTGAGTCGCTGCTGGAGAAGGTACCTTCACTAAACCTTTTAGAGCCTCTTTTTGCATCTCTTCAACCACTTAGGCAGGCCCCAGTTCTGCCCATGCCCTGCAAATCCTCATTCCTCTTAGGGGATTGTGCTCCCTCGTCCACAGCTCCTCCTCTTCCAATCAAGGGTCTGACACTGCCCATTGACCACGTTTATTTTTCTGCCTTTTGGCCCTGGGAGCTTGTCTGCTGTAGGATAAAAGTGGAATTCTCTGCTGTCTGCAGGGCTTTCCCCAGGGAACAGAGCATGAAACCCAAACTTATATAAAATCATATCCTGTTTGCAAACATCATATTCCCTTTGCTTCTCACTGATCTGGTCCTGTAAACCCCAGCACAGCTTGAGAGCCCATTCCTCATCTAAACAAATGCCATAAGCCCCTTTATACTTTTACAACCATGTCAAAAAATAATATTGCCTGCCAATAGTGATGTGATTGGAGTTGCCTCCTCTGAGCCATAAAAGAAGCGCAGAGTCTGTTATCAATTTCTCTAAGTGTATCAGGGGAATTATGGGTCGATTCAGTTCCAAGTTATAAATGACAACTCAAAAGCCGCAGAAGCGTTTGAAGCTGGGAGCTGATGACGACATTATCATAAAAGCCTGCTCGTCCTTGCTTTTGTGGGTTTTTCTGTGGCCTATCAAGTGAAGAGGGGAAAATGAGGCTGAGAAATGACTTCAAGATTTCTTCACACAGCAGCAGGTCAGATGGCCAGGCAAATGATCACTATTTTTAGTGATATACCCTGAGGAGTGAGAACTGAAGTGATCCTGCACTGGCTCTTGTTTTCAGAGTCCCTTAATTATCTATTTTACTACACAATGACCAAGGCCTGGGATTTGGTCAAATGTTCTTTTCAACTGGTGCATTTTCTTGTAGTGCAATCACACAGTAATAAGAAATGAGTCATGCCATAATAACTGAACAAAATGAAAAGCAAAACACAAAGGAATTCAGAAACCTTGACATTGTTGCTCGAAATGCAATTCTGGAGAGCACATTTCACAGCACCTTAAATATCGTTCATCCACTGAGCTGCTTGACCAACACTAAATTACCATGTGCAAGTTTAGGGGGAATTTTAATGAGAAGTAGAGATGTTCTGATTTCATAATGTCCCAGGTAGTGTCCTCAAAAGCCAATTAACCCATCAGTATTCTATAGGTGTATATTAAACCCGCTTAGAATGAAGTTATATATTCTAAGGAACTGGAGTTTACTTTAACAATTGGGGATCACTGAGTATTGCAGAATGGAAATCATCAGGTCAATCTTAGGTAATTTGAGACAGAACCGTGTCTTAAGACAAAAGTCATTTCAGTAATTTCCAAAATCTCTAGGGTGCTCCCATGTTGCCAAGTTGGGGCCCTCTGAGATCATACTGGGGATCTTTCGTATAGCTAATCTGTCTGGGATTGTCCTGGAGGCGAAAATTTAGACTGGCTTAAATCCAGAGGACCCAGGGTTTCTCCTAAGACTTGTACCAAAACCAAAAATCTGAGAGGGCAAGATGGCTTTTGAAAGGCTAAGAAAACTATTTCATTCCTGTAAACAAAAATGCTGAGTCAAACTAGTTCACAAGAGCATCAGCAAGTGCAAACTTGCACACACACACACACACACACATTCACACCCACCCTGACCTACATAAGCATCACCTCTTCTCCAACCTTCTCCAGCACTGATAGAGCCAAACTAACAATGCAGGGCTCCTTCTTCTGCCTCTGCCGGCCTACCCCCAGATTTATCTACCACCATCCAGGTGAGGTCAGCTCTGGGGACATTACTAAGGACTTACTCTACGACCCACACTGTGCACTGTGCATTATGTTTAATATACTGGTCCAGAGGAAGCAGCCAATATTCATTCCTTGGTCATTTTGAAGAGTTTACTAAAGCAGTCCTATGTGAGAAATAAGAAGTTAATTTGGGTTTAGAGCGGTTGTGTAGAGGAACTTTGCATTGAAGGGATAGTGAATTAAAAGCACGTCCCAGGTCAGATTTGGGAGGTGAGTCCTGGGGAATGGCCTCAATTCAGTCCTGGGTCATACATTAAATATACAGATGATCATTGACTTATGATGGAGTCCTGATAAACCCATTGAAATTTGAAAATGTCCTAAGTCAAAAAAGAATTTAATACACCTAACCTAGCAAACATCATGGCTTAGCCTAGCCTAACTTATTCATGCCAAACACTTACGTTAGCCTACAGTTTGGCAAAAGCATCTAACACAAAGCCTATTTTATAACAAAGTGTTAAACATCTCATGTAGTTTATTGAGTACTGTACTGAAAGTGAAAAATAGAATGACTGTATACTCAAAGTATGGTTTCTACTGAATACATATCACTTTTGCACCATCATAAAATCAGAAAATCATAAATTGAACCATCATAACTCAGGGATCATCTATACTTCTAAATGAGTGGGGTTTGATGGCCACCACCCTTTTAATAGCTTTGATTTCCTCCACATAGCTGTTCCCATTAAGTAGTCATTAGGTTTGTTTCATTTTTTGCCCCTTTTACAGGTAGGCAGCCATTCTCATAAAACAGCCATTTGAGATGTTGAAAATAAGCACAAAGCCAATGAAACCCATTTTAAAAGTCAGCTTATCCTCTGCTTTCCAGAATGATTTTGCAAGCTCCCAGCTCCACAGGAGGTTGGCTAAAAATGAGCAAGGATTAATGTGGGATGATGACTGTCCTATGCTGGTGGTCAAAAAGCAAAAGTCACTGGTGAGCTGTCACAAAGGGGTTATACCACATCAGCCACACTGCTGCACTGCTGACCCAGAGGGAGGAGGGGGAAGCTGAGGCTAGTTTGTTAAAGATGAAAGCCATGTAAGTGTCTAGAAAGCTCTTTTGGAACTCCTCGACAAGGACATGTACATCACCCCCATACTTTCAGCTTTTTACCCTTCACTGTGTGACTTCAGGAAAATAACTTAGCTTCTCCCAGCCTTCACTTTCTCATCTGCAAAATGGTGTTAATGACTATTTCACAAGGTTGTTTTGGGACTCAGTTTGTTGGCAAACTGTAAAGTCCACACAGAGGCAAATGGATATAGCTACCATACTGTTTTCCAGAACTGGCAGAATCATAGACAAAGGAACAAAAGGCTACAACTCACTAAATCTGGCATCATCAAAATGATAGAATAAGCTGAAAATATTCGAGATTTCTTTGCATCAAATTTAGTTCTAGCAAAACAATTGTTAAAAACATGATATACATGTGACTAGTTTTGTTCTTTGTCTTCAACATCGAGTCAATTTAATTGACTTAAATACCATAGTCTTTGAAAACTTCGCCTAGAATTATGTTGTTTTAACATAACACTTAGTTCTACAGGATGATGGTTTGTCAGTGGTAAGGGTTAACTTTAAATAGATTTCAGGTTATAGGGTATGTTCTAGTCATCTACAAAAATGTAGACATTTTTCTTCATGTGTTGCTGGGTTCTAACAAATTTGTCCTTGAAATGTGGTCTAAATATGTTGAGTCAAAATGCTTACCTTAATTATTGAAGATAAAAATGTCCCCAAGGGGTTCACAAAAAAAGGTCCCATAATGTAAAGCACTTTGTGATGTCTATGCCATTTTCACCAGGAATATAATGCACGTGCATACTCAATGTGATTCTAGTGAAAATGGAATTCGGCTGCAAAACTGTTAAACCCTCTTGTAGCACCTTTTCTCCAGCTATATAAAGGCCTAGCAAAGCTGGCTTCATGAGTGGGTGACCTGTGCAGTCACATGGGAACTTACAGTTAGAAGGGCCTTGCTCTTGGTTTAATTCTGTATTGCCACCATCTTGAAATTCTTAAGAATTTTTTTTTTTTAACAAGGGCTGCCATGTTTTAATTTGGCACTTAGCTCTGCAAATTATGTAGGCAGTCCTGAAGTCTGGCATAACCTTTACTGAGAAATAACCTCATACATAACTGAATAGATAAATCAAAAAAGATTTTTTTGTGTGATTTTATGTTCTTTAAAGGCAGTAAACCAACTCGTACTTACCCCAAGTCCACCACAAGGTAATGAGGAAAAAAACTTTTGAGAGTCATCACCTATAGAGTAAGAGGACATAAAAAATATATATAAATTGGAGTTATATAGTTCTTAAAATGTTAGTGTTTATTAACACATAACCATATGTCAAATGGTATTTATCACTTGATGCAAAATTAAATTAATAGAACTTCAGACCAATTATTCAATACAGTTAATTTTCAGAATATCATTGTTCTGTCTATCTGTATACAAAAATAAGAACTGAAAGCAAATCAATATAAATATTATTGCATGTAGAGTCTGTTGCCCCACAAGAATAAACACATGCTCATAAGATTTGGGTCACAAGATTTTTTTTTTTTAAGTTGGCCTACATGTCTGTATTATACACTACAATTTTTTAAATTTAAGGTAACTAATTCAGCTATTCACTGAGTATATTCATTTAATGGGATGTTTTGAGCTACAAGGTTTATGCCACCACATACTGTCATTTTTAAAATATTTCAAATATTAAAATATCTTCTCAAATGTACAGACTTATTCCTAATTTCTACTTAAGACACAGCTAAGTATGGCTGCTTATAAGTAGCTATATCAACTTTAAGATAGAGCTGAGGCCAAGTACACCATAAGCCACTTCTAACATCCACAATTTTTTAAACAGTACACTATGACAGATAATCCCATTTGGGGATCAATACAGCATCAATATCCATATAAAATATCTTCTTCAAAAATATATGCCCAAAACTGAACTGTGAGTATCTCTTAGAACTGGTGTTTCACGGGATTTTTAGTAATTATTTTGTTTACCTGTACTTTTATTTTCTACATTATCTACTACATGAATAGAGAAAAACAGTAGTAACTGCTACTAAATCTTCATTAAAATTTGCCTGTGGAGTAATCACAGGGAAAGGCAGTGAACATTTCTATTTCATAGTCAAATGGTTCTGAATGGACTTCAGCATGTCACTCAGCAGTTTAGTGGTAGAACAGGTACAAATTTCCAATTCACCTATCCCATTCATTTGTTCTATCGATGGTCAATGAAATGAGAAATTAAAATTGAAAACAGGTTTGTAGTAGAATTCATATGCCATGTCAGTAAAAGTCTAAATAGCTTTTACTGTCACAGAAGAGAGTTTGTTTTGAAAACAATAAATTGTATGAGTTGGTTTTTTAAATGCAATTACTACAATATGAAAAACGATAAAGAAAAATGTATGTGCAAATGAAGCCATCTAGTTATAAAGAGAGATCTTTATTTTTACAAAAAGATGAGACATCAACAGAATTAAAAATAATAATAAAAATCATAAAATAATATTAAAACTGTAATATTGGCACCAGTAAAAGGCACATGAAAATTTCTGGGGAGGAGTAAAGTTTTCTTATGTTGTTGTTTCTAACAAAAATATATCTGTATCCTTGAATATTTTGCAAGAGTATATTCATATGTCACCTGTGAAATTAAAATATATATGTACATTTTAGTCTCTGAATTCTTCATAGTCAACAAACAGGAATGAAGATAATATCATAACATAGTAAGTTAATTTTTTTTTTGAGACGGAGTCTCGCTCTGTTGCCCAGGCTAGAGTGCAATGGTGAGATCTCGGCTCACTGCAACCTCCACCTCTCAGGTTCAAGCGGTTTTTCTGCCTCAGCCTCCCGTTAGCTGGGACTATATGCACGCGTCACCATGCCTGGCTAATTTTTGTGTTTTCAGGAGAGAAGGGGTTTCACCATGTTTGCCAGGCTGGTCGCCATCTCCTGACCTCGTGATCCGCCTGTCTCGGCCTCCCGAAGTGCTGGAATTACAGGCATGAGCCACTGTGCTCAGTCAATAAATTAGTTTTTAAGAGTAATTTTAAAAAATTATTAACCCCCAAGAGAATTAGCAAAATAAGTATCCTACTTAGGAGAGATTTATTTAATACTATTATTTAATAACTACTTAGGAGAATGTTTATATAATACAAAACAGGCATATAATTGACACTTTAAATTTAGAAATGGGCGAGAAACTTTTATTTCACCAAACTGACTGGATTTATTTTTAATTATATTGTCTTATCAATGCACTGAAATTTGGCTAGCTGCAAGACAACTGGAAACTGGTTATAAGAGCAACAGGAATATTAATGCTAAGGAAAACCTTGCACCAGAAATAATTGGAGAGAATGTCTTTTCAATGTCACCTTACAGGGTCTAGAGTATTTAAAAAGATAAATGATGTTCATTTTCACATCTAATTATTTTATCGTCTATAGATGTCTTTCAAGATACAAAGGCTGATAGGTCTGGTCATACTGAACTTTTATTTAAACCTTTCCTCCTAACTCTAGAACACAACTATCAAGGGAAATAGCACTAATTTAACTCAGAAAAGACATCTCCCGTCTGTGTTGGGAGGAACTGGGGGAAGTAGTAGGATATATGGAAGTGAAAGGAATGGATAAAAAGAGAGAAAACATCTTGATGATTATGAATTTCTATACATTCACATATGGCTGCTTCAACCTGGTCTTTCAGATACAAACAAACAAACAAAAACCCACAAGAATCCGAATTTCACAAAAAGCAAAAAAAGTATTAAAAGTTAACCTTTTAAAAGAATAGAATTATTCACTTTGAACTGAAATTGAGAAAAATTAGATAAACTTTTGGATACACTAGGGAAAGAGAAGTAGTTTTGAAGTGTTGACGCGGTTGAATTTAGTGCTCAACCTTAAGACCTGATAGAATGCAACATCCCTGTTTCTGTGTACTCATGTAGCCCACACACAATATTGAAATTGTTGCAACGATCGCTGAGAACTGTATATGAAACTCCACACATGCATAGAAGGCTAACTTTAAGATTATCAACTGTAGGAATATTATTTCACATCAAATGTTCAAAATTAATGAGATAAATGGCTACTTTATTTAGATTAAAATTTTAAAAATTGAATCATAGGTACTTGCTGCTTTCATCACATACATACATGAAAGGAACCTTTGTCCAAGTTAAAATTATATATGGAAATTCATTTTTAAATCATCAGATTTTAAAATGATACACCCATCAAATGTTTTACAAAAATTAGGTTTGCTCAAAAGTGCCAAATTTCTTGAAAAAAAAAAAAGCCATGTTTTATAAATAAAAGTTTGATGTTGCAAAAATTTAAACTTCATTTATCTTATAAATATGTCTTTTCTCTTAAAATGTGGAACAATGGTTGTTTAGAGCACCTCTCAACTATCAAACGTGTGTTTATATTCACAATTTGATCAATCCCAGCCTGTTCCAATAAAGTTGGAAGGGTGATTTATACTTTAGGACCAGAGATTTTTAAAAAGTGGGGGAGGTTTTGTACTTGTTTTTTCTTAACTCAATTAAAAAATAATGACATGGACACAGTCCCCTATTTTTGAATGCTTGAGTATTATGACCTCATAAAATCAGGACAATTAAAATGTCTGGTTTACTTCATCTTTTTGGTTAGTTGGGTAGGATTATTGATTCATGTTAAAATAAGAACATTTATTATACAATATTTGCAGCAAAAGAAGTATTTTATGTAAAGCATCTGCATGTACAGAGACTGGTTTCTAAAATAGGAAAAAATGAGCATATATGTTTAGATTGATTTATTTGTATTCATATTAATATATGTTAATTTGATAGTATATATTATTTTAATCATCAAATATTAGCAATGTACTTTCTAAAAATTGGATAATCTTTATGTATTCCCCTTTGGTCTTACTTCTCCCCAAGCTACTGCTACCTATACTGTTACACACATGTGTGGGCATATTTATGCTCACTCATATGCCTGCCTGTCATAAACTTAGAGATGTTTGCCACTTGTTTAAAAAGGTATATTGTAAGTGTTATAATGAGTAACTGTTAATTCTTCCTTACAATTGCTTTCCAAGATACCTACCTATATATGTTATCTACTTACTTTCAAATTGTTTAGGATTAGTTAACATAAAACAATTTTGAAATAACATTGAATTAGGTGAAAGAGTTCAATAACTTAGTGCTGACACAATATATTTATTTGAAGGAAAAACTCCTAAAATGTCTTTTTTAGTTAAAACATTTAAAACATGATCCCGTCAGCATCTATTGCCAACGTTAGATATTGTTATTCACTTATAAAAAGTTAACAAAACAATATTATCATTTCAGCTAAAATAAAGTTTGTCACTCGTTTTTCTTCCAGAAACGTGTTGTTTCTATCACTCATATAAAGCTTATATGAAGTTCTGCAACATAAATTTGATTTTAAAATCTGATGATAAACTTTCAAAAAATCATACCTTAACAAAAAACTGTTTATTATCGTTTTCTAGTTTTGCATTTAATGTATTATTTAATTCCAAAGCTAAGGCAATAAATAGATTTGAAATCTTGCTATAAAATCTATTGTGATAGACATAGTAGTATTGAGTTTTCACTTAATATAAGTTGTACTATTTCCTTCATTTCTTAAGGTCATAGAACAAAGAACTAAAAGATAAAAAAAAAAAAATGGGAACGGTGAAGAGAAATTTGCATAAAGCATGTAAAAATCGTTTCTTCTTTTAGTTTGAAAACATGACACACAAATTCAGCAATGCAGTTTTTTTCTATATGCAAAAACACATTGTACAAATGTTATTCAAATGAAGGTTAATTTTAAAGTAAACATCATGGAACCTACATTGTCATTTTCTAATGCAGGGTTTTCTTAATCTACAATGGCTTCTATTGCAAATGACTCATTCCACAGAGCAAAGCTGTTGGAAAAACTGATTTTTTGTTGCACTACTTGCCAAGTATTTTGAACTGACACCAGCATTGACTAATGATAGTGCTGGAATGTGCTGTTCCCAGTACAGTGGAGGCCCGTACAGACCTAGGAGTATCCTGGGGTCCAGCTTCTGTCCGTCCAGGGGGTTGGTGCCATACAACAGTGAGTGATGTTCAGAATGAACAAGCTGTATTTCCTCCAGGCTGGCTTTTCGACCTTGAATTCGCTGAAAGAAAACAGCAGAAGCCAACAGTACTCCACTGACAACATTTAGAAGAAAATGAGACCCCAAGTCACATTTAAGATGATTAATAATGGGCTGAATTTCATCATGTAGGAATGTGACACTGATTTGCTTAGTAAAATACCATAATAATATTTGAAAAATGAGTGTATGGAAGGTTCAGATCCAACAGATTGCTTATGCCTACATGGGCAACTGACATAAAGTATATTCTTATTTGGCATAGAAGAGAAAGCTATAACACAGAAATTAATAGTTAATTCTTTTGTAAAGTATCAGCTTAAAAACTAATAGGGGCTACTATTTAGCTGATAATTAAATTTATTACAATCTTATTTTACACTTACCCAAATAAGTTATTAGAACACATTCCTTATTCCTTCTTCAAGGACATAAATACATACCATTTTATTTTAATGAACTTGATGATCACAGATACGCTAATCACTTTCCATGTGTGTACCTCACAGTAGTATCAGTTTAAACCAATGTTCCTCAAACTGTGTCCCATGGGATCAATAGCAGGTCAATATCTGTTTATTAATGGTCTGTAGTGAGGTCAGTACAGAAATTCAGATCAATATTTATAAACTGTTATGGCAATTTGACAATATTTTTATGTCTTTTGAATCTACTATAATCTTGTACCTCTTCAATATTTATTCCACTTTTGCCATATTTCATTTTTAACATTTTTAATAAGAGTATTAGTCTCTGACAGATTGGAAATTAAACAAAAACAAAACCTGCTATTCAATCAGACACTGTTTGAGACACTCTAGACTCCATCCATTTTTTACAAACAGGCTAGGCAGAGACTTCCACTCCATCTAACCAATTATAGCCCTTCAACGTAGGCAAAACTGTTCATTAGGTCAAACCTCAATTATCCAATATGCAAAGTGTTCTTTCTGGCTACGTTCCTCAGCTGGCACATCTGTGAGCCTGATAAATATTGTGCTGGTACATGAAGTTAATTAGCCTTAACTTTTGGAAATCATTGTGCTTTCTAGTATTACAGAGATGGTGTTAATATTTCACTTAAAAATATATATCACCACAAGGCAGCTGTAAGTTAACATTTAAGTACAGAACAACACTGAAATTCAAGGAGAATCTGTTCAGGGAATGCTGTCTGTTCATGTTCCTGACCAAGGAACCACCAGGTAACCTGGAAACATCAGGTGACAACACTTCAGGATGAGGACAATTCCACATTCAGCCTCCCTAGTTTAAGGTGATGCAGCTGCTGCCAGACTCTTCAATGTTGATGTGTGGTTCACTGAACGGGCAGGCCAGGAAAACTTCAATATCTGACAATCCCTCAGCATTTACTGGGCAGGAGGCAGAGCTGTGCTTGTCATTGAAAATAAATGATCAGGTCACAGTGAGGGAGGAATGGTGGGGGTCTGCAGGGGTAACAGGAAGGGAGTGATTAAAGTAAAATCTCATTAACACTTGCCTTTACGTGCTAAATAAACTCACAAATACTTATGGAACTTTCTTTGTATATCATTGAAGTTCTGTTTTTGATGCTATCATTCAGCACTGTCTAACCCAATTCAAATTACTAGAAAAATAAGAATACGATTTAGAGAAATTATTCCAGGTGGGTAAGATCAGAATTCTGATGCTGAAGACTAAGAAAAATTTAATGATGGCCTTCTGGTCAGCCATCTTTCTGATTGATAAGAAAACATCTTGAACCAAGTGGGTTGCTGGGAAACATTCAATATGGGAAAGTTTACGGAAGACCAGAACAACTAAAGAAGTAGGATGACATGACAAAATAAGCATAAGCAAATTCAAGGCAACATTAAAGGGAAACGTTTTAACTGTGAGATTTCAGGGGGTGGAGAATCCCTCAAGACAAATAATGGTAAGTCCATGGTTTGAGTCATCTAAAATTGGACTGAGCAGGGTATTGGAAAACAAAATGTGGCAACCAATCCTAGTCTGGCAGAATAATGAACACCATGAAATAAGAGGGCTTCGAGCTCTTCTTTCTATGGGTCTTTGAAATCCATAGCCACTAACATCATATACGCTGATACAGTGAAACATCAGTGTCTTAAACAATGTCAGTTCTGCAGTTAATGATCAGACCCATGTTTTGATGACTATCATAAACTTTCTTTGATTTTTTTCCCCTTTCTTCATTTCTATAAAGATTCTTTTCATCTATAAATTAAATTTTTACCTCTGGTATAACATTAAATACCATTAACGATAAGTATATCTTGATGTGTTCATACACTAGTCATGTAAATTTGCATACCATGCACTCTATGCTTGTCCAACACCTTTTCTTATTCTCCCACAATCCCACTGATTCTAGCTGAATTCCAGCTCAATCACAGATTTGAACACTAATCTGCTAACAAGATTCACTGTAATTGACAGTAGCTGAAGTGCTAGTAAGTCATAAGAACAGCGGTTTCCAATCTTTTTGGCACCAGCGACCACCTTCGTGGAAGACAAAAAAATGGGGGAGATGGCTTCAGGGTGATTCAAGCACATTACGTTTATTGTGCACTTTATTTCTATTATTATTACATTTTAATATGAAATGAAATAATTATACAACTCACCATAATGTAGAATCAGTGGGAGCCCTAAGCTTGCTTTCCTGCAACTAGATGGTCCCATCTAGAGGTGATAGGAGACTGACAGATCATCAGACATTCGATTCTCATAAGGAGTGCTCAACCTGGATCCCTCACATGCACAGTTCACAATAGGGTTAGCGCTCCTATGAGAATCTAATGCCGCTGCTGATCTGACAGGAGGCAAGGCTCAGACGGTGATGCAAGCAATATGGAGCAGCTGAAAATACAGATGAAGCTTCACTCTCTCACCTGCCACTCACCTCCTGCTGTGCAGCCTGGTTCCTTACAGGCAATGGACCACTAATGGTCCGTGGCCCAGGGTTTGGGGACCCCTGATAAGAGGAAACCTGCTGATCGGTCATCCCCTTGTGTAAGATCAGTCAACTAACAGTAAAGACAGAGCATTTGACCCAGCTATCTAGCACTGACTTATTCTAACAGCTTTCTCTGCTAGTTATACTCTAGGCCCCATCCTTGTCATTAAAATGTACCACTATTACTGTGTTTTCACTTTGATTTATCTTTTTCTCCTTCTTGTTATCCTTTCTTTTGACTCTAAGCAACTATTTTACACTGGCTCTTATTATTATTATTATAAATATTTTTTTAAAATAATTTCACTAAATATAAGGAAGTACTTATTCTTGGCAATTACCTTCTGCTTCTTTGGTTGCTAGAGAACAGCCCACAAACATAGTGCACATGTTTCTACAGAAAGAGAGCAGTGAAAACTAATTCAGTACCCCCCCCAAAAAATGTTTCTACCTGTAGACAGGATCTGGAAAAAGCACGTTTTGAAATTTGTATCTCACAGAGACAATGCTAGGAGAATTTGGTGGATGACTAAGCTGAAAATTCTGAAAGAGCAACAGCTTTCTTTATTCCTTAACATGTAGGATCTCCTGGAGTAATTCCGCTTTGCCTCACTTGTAAAAATGCCTTAAATTTGCCACATTCAACTTTTCCTTTCATATTGAGATCTTCACCAGTTCCCATTTTCTGGTATTACCATCAGTAATTTAGTCTTTTATTTGTGTAGGCTTAAATATAGATATTCCCACTTAATCCTTTCTTACATTTTCTACTTCCTGCGTACCCTTTATTATTTCATTTCTCTCTCTCAATGCTCTCTTGAATCAAAGGTCAATAGCATAATGAGTCAAAAAATAGGCTAAAGTGCTCTAATAATCTTAATTTAGGGAGTACTGATTTCTGTTCTCAGAGATACTTGGTCTGCAGGATATCTATGTAAAGTTATCTATAATAGTCTGCCCAAAAAGGTTTTTTTAAGAATTCTGAGCATATTGGGGCACTCAATGCAAATAAGGGATGGATTTCATCTGAAGATGTCTCACTTGGAGTCAATACAGGTCTTAAATGTATTACCAATACAGGCTTAGGAATGGAACCTCGTAGCTCTTGTCACTTTCTTAATTTAAAAATTTTGTGATGTAGGACTGTGTTCACTGTTACATTATCATTCCCTGTTCTGCACACTTAGTTTCTTCCCTGAGAGTCTGAAAAGGAGCTATATTCACTGAGCGCTTACTCTGTGCTTGGGAATATGATCATGTTTAGTTCAGAGCCCTAAACAGTCATATTCAGGTTGGAAGTTTGACCAAAGTCATTTAAAATGACCATATCATTGAGTCTCACAACACACCATGGTTCTTTCTTAAAGAAATAGTCTTTCTGAAACAGAGCCCGTTAATGCAACCTGATTATAGAAGAAATGTTCTGAACATGATCTACAAAGTCATACTGTGACAGGATAAAATGCAGCCTACCCACACCCACCCACACACAGAGCACACACACGGTATAGATTCATATTTTTTTCTGCCAAGGAGCAGGGAAAAAAGGAAACAGTTCTATTCCTTTCCCTCCTGTGTTCAAAGCCTGGATTGAGGCCAGTGTCCTAATCAGTTCTCATTGGCCCTGGAGGAATCAGAACCTTTTGTAAAATATAATAAAGGGCATAAAATCATGATAAAATGCATGAAAAAGCAGTGCCTTTGGTTAGGGAACGAGAAATAATTTAGCAGAACAGATGGATTGCATTGGTTTGGTATTATTGAGGACATGAAAGGGCTCATTTTGTGGCAGTTCCAAACTAAGAGAAAATGTCCAACTTAAATTTGACAAGTCAAAGTACCTGCCTGCATTGGGGAAAACTCCATTTTCTTTAATCATTTTCAAAGTGGTGACATACTAGGCAAGAATTTCCACCGAAATATCTCATTTTATGAAAATATTTCATCCATTGTCCCTAAATAAAGGGATGTGTTTTTATTTATTTTCTCCAAAAATCCAGGGCTAAAGAAATTCATAGGTTAAAAAAATAAAGAAAATAAAGAATTGTAAATGACCTCT